ACTCTATATGTGCACTGGTAAGCCCTTGCGCATGGACAATACGACTTTGATCTCCAATGACAGTGTCGAGTCTCGGCATGTGAAGGGCCATGCCGAGTGAATCGACACCTCAAATGCTAGATGGCATGACTACCATCTTATAACGCTAACTGATATCTCTCGGCGTTGATACAATGCGATACATAGGTAATTCACTAAATTTTTCCTTCGCTCGACAAAGGGAGAGTCCAAAGCAGACAAGGTGAAAAACGTTCCTGCGCAACTGCTTAAATTTCAGCCTCAATGTTCCTACCGGTAGACTTCCCGCTGCCAAAACAAGATGGTTTGCCGGTCACCGAGCCCTTGGCAAGCAAGATCTTTGCCGGGTCTTTATCGTCGACAAATTTTTGGGGTAATTCTTTATGACGATCGAGGCGAAAACAAGGCAACCCATTCAGGTATCGGTCAGTTTAGGTAATATTCTAGTCCTAATCGAGATCATTTGGCGAGACCCGTATTATGCCGTCATCTTATCGGCAAACTTTTCCTTACTTCTCAGTCCCCAACCTCGCTCGCCTCATCACAGCCGTTAAATACATCATTATGCAAAGACTTTTCACACGTTGGATTTCTGCAGCTTCTTGATTCGCTTGTGCCAAGCGCTTAGATATCGGATAGTTCTCCATGCATCCGTGATGGCCGACGATATCCACCAAAGCGGAGCACAATCCCGTCGAGTAATATCTCCACAATGGTGCACAATCTCTAACCACATGCCGGATGTATGGTTCTTTGTATGGGATCGTCGCGTGTTAGATAGATGTCCGTTCAATTTGGCCCAGCGCTCAGCAGCACTATGACGCAAAAGTACTCCACTGTATGAGACTGGTCGATAAGCATTCCCACGCTATGAGCTATGGAGGTTTCAGGGTCTAACTACGACATCCAACAATGGTCGGGAAAGATAGGCAACCATGAGTTTTAGGGGAGGTTGAATAGGTCATGTCATGGAGCCTATTCGAGACGAGTGTATAAAACACGACTCATACCCGTCTTCACCGACTCTCCGCACTCCAAACTCCACATTATCCACAATTCTCTCCGCCGGTTCGAGGGGTTAATCTGGAGTATCTCCGCTCTCTATTGAATATTTGAAGGTGTTTAAAGCCACTCTACCCACTACGCAAAAGATCCGTATCTTCAACTCCCTACAACTATCCAGCAATCAAAGGCTCGGATAGATATTATACCGTTGGACAATCACTCTATCTTGCTTCTGTTTGAACAATCGTCAACATGTCCGCTCCATCACTGGCTGTTCCCAATGGACGGTTTGCGCGACGTCTCAGTTCATCCGAGGCTACGCGTGAGTCTATTTCGCTCGGTCCGACTGTTGTCGTACCTCCAAAGCATTTGATGGCCCCTTCAGATAGCTCTGAAATTGCCATTGCCATTGCCACTGCACGACATGAACTTCAATCATCGGCTTCTCCACCCTCTCCTTCCACCCCTCAGGAGAGCACAGTGACCGACAAGTATGCCTATGCTTTCGATATTGACGGTGTTCTTATCCGCGGCGGAAGGCCTATTCCTGAAGCGATCGAAGCTATGCGAATGCTTAATGGCGAAAATGAATTTGGCATTAAAGTGTAAGTTTTATCGAATCCACAAAGATGTCTTCAGTAATGACTAACATGCTGTAGTCCGTATATCTTTGTTACAAATGGAGGAGGCAAAACTGAAGCCGAACGGTGCCTCCAATTAAGCCAACAGCTTGAGATTGAGGTCTCACCAGGACAATTCATCTGTGGTCATACCCCAATGCGTGAAATGGCTGAAAAGTACAACACTGTTCTGGTTGTTGGTGGTGAGGGCGAGAAGTGCAGGCACGTTGCCGAGGGATATGGCTTCAAAGACGTTGTCACACCAGGCGACATTATCAAAGATAATCAGGACACTACTCCGTTTCGCAAATTGACCGAAGATGAGTATAACAACTCTCGAAGCCGCAATTTCGCCGAGGCGGAGATTGAAGCCATCTTTGTCTTTGCTGATAGCCGAGACTGGGCATCAGATCAACAGATCATTCTTGATCTCTTGATGTCCAAGAATGGTCGTTTGGGTACGCGTTCTGAGACTTTCGAAGACGGACCTCCTGTGTTTTTCTCCCACAACGATGTTGTCTGGAGCGCGTCGCACGATCTTACCCGTATCGGCATGGGAGCGCTTCGTGTTTCACTCGAGGCTATGTTCAAGGCCGTCACTGGCAAGGACCTCCAGACCACTGCATTCGGCAAGCCTCAAATAGGCACCTTCCAATTTGCAACACGACTTCTTCAACAATGGCGTAAGGATACACATGGAATTGATAGCCCTCCTGACACTGTGTACTTTGTCGGCGACACGCCTGAAAGCGATATCCGTGGCACGAACGAGTTCAACAAACACTCGGAAAACTCCTGGTACTCCATTCTTGTCCGCACTGGGGTCTTCCAGGAAGGTACCAAGCCACGCTTTCAGCCGAAGGCCACTGTTGACACCGTCCTCGAAGCTGTCAAACATGGTATCGAACGCGAATATCGCAAATCGTTGAAAGCGAGCATGGAAGCTACGGGTGTGATTGCTGAAGAGTAAATCATTGCGCCACAAACAAATTGAAGGGGGTGTTTCCATGAACCTTCTTGAGCATAGCAAACGGAGTTATAAGGATTGGTTGGCTTGGAATTGCTACCGTTTTTTCTTTCCTACATACATTTAGGCGAGTACCGTTACCGTTCGGATATAGGTTGACGATCAGATGGAGAGGTTTTATGATACCAGCAGATTTATTATGCATTCTACCACTTTTCAACATTTAGACATGATCAAAATCAAGAACATTCACATCAGACAATCTTATATTCCTCTCATGTGCCGCTTTATTCTATTGTTGTTTCATGGAGACTCCAGATGTTCTCACTTACACTTCACCACTCACCACTAGACTTAAGCACGTACGAGTTAAGTTTGTGACAAACAGAGTGGAACACTCTACATTAGTGTATCTAAAACTCCACGTGGTTTGGTAGGTGCAAAGACTATTGAATATTCTATCAATGGCACCCCACAAGCTCGAATAACGCCACTCAAGGTTCCACTTCAACACCTCATACTGACATGGTCCCCCGCTCAAGGAGAATATGCGAGGTCCTAGACACCCACTCCGTATCAACGAGCTAAGCAACAACGATTTACCCCGTAAATTAGTGTCCCGCCTGTCAACGGCGAGCCTGCCTGATGGCACCACGCTATCTCTCGGGCCGAAATTGCTGCCCGCCTCGCACTTTTCTATCTTCTTTCTCAAAATGAGATCTCATTTCCTTTCACCCTAGATTCACGAAACTCCTGATAGCGGGCCCTCAGGCATCTGCAAATGCTGACTTAGTTACACTGAATGCTGACAAGAGATATGCGTTTCGCCGGCGACCGCCTCTAACAGCCAAGTCGGGTGTCGGCGCAGTTTTGAAGTAACCGGAGGTCAACTAGCGTACCGGTCGAAGATGCGTTCCTTTCATCAAACTTTCCATGCTTCATGCCTGCAACTCCCCGCGGATGTGTGACGGGGTATTGGCACTGTCGTGGGAATAGTGTGGCAGGAGATGCCATGGACGTTCACTGCTGAGCAAGCATCACCCCTGAGCGACGCATTTCTAGTCAGCCTTATGCACCCAAAACAAGCGGGATATTCCTGTACCTAAACCCAACTTCTAAGCTCTCAAACGTCTTATGGCCTGGATCCCATCTAACTCTTCACCCCCCACCCCTCGCCCGCTCCCACCCTTTTCATTTGGGAATATGGGCGACTAGTGGGAAGATGTCCCCATTTCTCAACAGACTCACTCAACGTGTTAATCCAGGGAACAACGCAGTACTCACCCTGGCTTATCAATCTTGCCAGCTCTTGTCAGTGTCGACCCCATGTACCTCTCCACCAATATTCCACCCTTTCCTCTTCAATAAAACCCCTGACCCCGTGAATCCAGAAATCCCAACCATTCCAACATTTCGCGGGAGAAAGGGGCTTTCACTCTCGCTTCAGTGTCCCAAACACTCCTTAGTCGTCCCGGTACTTTGTAATTCAAGGGTCTTGGTCATTTCAGGTGCCGAAAGTAGACTACTTATGGTCCCGATTCCCCAGACCGGCGGACCGTACGGGATCCGCGGTACGTACAAGACCGTTGCGTCGCGGAGCACGGGATCAATAACGCCGGTGTTTCTGCTGATGAATCAAACGCGTTATCGACAAGATGTCGCGTTCATGGGAAGGCTGCGTAATAGTCCATAGATGGTCTTATGTGTATGTTCCAGATGCCTGAGGTAGGTCTGTGTGCGCAGTAAGGCCTTAAGACATATGTCCTGATAGTGGCGACTCGGTTGATCTGACGAAATTACGTGCGGGAAGATGTTGTCTCAGGTCAAGATTTCACTAAGTCGATTGCGGACCGTGGGTGGCAGATTGACTTAAGATAAAGAACGGGTTTAATGGGCAAATTCCCGAGCCGGGAGCGGAGATGGAATATCCCCATGATGCCTTGAAGTTTGATTAAGGCCACCCAGGCAAGAAATCTCAAGATAAGATCCTCACATAGAAGAGTGCACACGATACTAATCAAAGACGATCGTAGAGGGCCAAGAACTCTATCAATGGTTGAGCGCTGAGGAAGTGGAAGAACAGAAAGGGAATCTGAACGAAAACGAATATCAGACCGAAGCATATCGCATCAGTAAATCTTGATGTAATTCACTGTTCACGACATGATGACCTACGGGTATGCATACATGGTGTTTCACAATATTATTGGTTAACTCAACAGTAGTAGTCACTCTTCCTCTCGGCTTGAATTATTTACCTGAATCGTAGTTTCCCCACGAAAGAAATACCGCCGAAATTCATCACTGTCGCTGTCATGAACGCTAAGCGCCATCCATTGTCAATAACAAGTACACATTCACCGTAAGGATGGGCAAAAAAGATAGTACACCTCCTTGACGGGGAATTGAACCCCGGTCACCGGCGGATTGCCTTACTCCTGTACAGAAGCAGTTGACAAGCCGGTATACTAACCACTATACTATCAAGGACTTGATGCTTTGAACTGAGTGATGCTTTGTTTTCTGGAAACGAGTACATAACCATTACGAAACAATGGAGGGAGCAAATAGAATGAGAATACAAGTGAATCTCTATTCGATTCGATTTTGGGAAGGCGGCGGTGTGTGTGTGTGTGACAAACAGCTAGCGTTACTCGGTGTGGGGCGAGTCTAAAGGGAAGGCGCGATCTAACCAACATAAAAACTTAAGCATCTATGTGTTCGTACTACAATGCCTCGTTAGGATAATTGAGAAATCAGACATTCAGATAACATATTTTGCATGTCATTCAGACTGAAAAGCATATGCAAAGCATCTAGTATACTTGAATGTATTCGATTGAAATAGTGGATGTTCAATCTGAAGAGTTGAAGCCACAAATGATAACTCCACTCTATAATCCTGTCTAGCACTACCGATGGGGATAGAGAAAATAAAGGGCAGACCTATGGCACCCTCGATGAACTCCGAATGAATCAGTTGACTGATCTATGCACAATATGAAATAACACTTTCGCCTCCCGGGAATATCGAGCGTACTACCACCACCCTCGATTCGTGGTGGTAGTAATTTGTGTCTGACTCTCTCCTACCCAGTCATTCCGATTTCCACTCCAAGTGTAAGTCGAGCTTGTAGTAGGAGTTGCGTGAGGGGAACTCCCGGGCTGGCTAGAAGCGGTCACAGTCTGCAAAGTCGATGCAGCTGGAGCAGTATTAGTTGGTCCGGGCTCGAAGGGACCAGAGGAGTATGCGTCTAGAGCTGAATATACTTCAGCAACATTCCCACCGTTGTAAGCATTGGTGCTGTAAAACCATGCGAGCTTTTGACGGATAGCGTCTTCTGTGAAGTCTGCAGCGTTGATAGCTTTGGGTCGAAATTCGGGTTGCATGGGATCGATGAAGAGTGTGGAATTATCATAGCCCCATTTTGCGAGTTGGGTGACATTGAAAGCCGCCATCATATCTGAATATGAAAACCATTGTTAGCAACTTGAGGATCCTAGAGGTATACCAAGGGGAATTGGACCCAATATTTCGCCCAGGATAGAGACACACCATGATCTTCATGAACTAAATTGTGGCAATGAAACATGCTAACAGATCGTTAGTTTTTTGAGTGGAATGTTGAAAACAGCATTTGACCTACTAAACACCGTCCCATGGAGCATATCGAGCGACTACTCTGACATTTTCGCCGCTAGCTAGCCAGACAATATCTTTCCTTCCTGCAGATTCGTAGGGTTCGACTCTATTACGTCCTCCGAAGCGGGAAAGCACTTGAAATTCGACAAGGTGAATATGAATGGGATGGCTGCCACCTCCGTTCCCATTTTGAAATTCCCAGATTTCGTCAGCTCCTCGTAACGGACGCGTAAGAATACGATGGTTAATGTCTGAAAACCCAACACCGTTTATGACCCACTCGTCATCTTTTCGCTCAAACCTAAAATTCTTATCCGCAGCGCTCTTTGTCGGTAATGGGGAAATTTTCCTTAAAGCAGATGGAATTTCGCCGTTGTTGCTGCTATCGGAGACGGAATCACCAACTACCAAGCGCATCACCAAATCCGTAGCAGCATAGTCCAAATTTTCTCCTACACTGCGAGAATTTCTCATCGTGATGTTTTTCCCTTCATAGCCGGAGAAATCTACAATGACTTCGTAGCGCTCGCCTACGGATAACGCCAAATTGGTTGTCTTGACGGAGTTTGAAAAAAGTCCTGAATAATTAGCCGGTACTATGTAAATATTAAAAGTTTCTTACCAGCATCTGATGCGATCGTAGTAAAATCTAGACTCTTGCCATCACTTACCGTTTGGTCTCCACCAATATAGTCATCAGTGAAAGATATGTTGAATGCTACTCTTATATCAATGCCTGGCATCTAGATGAACTCTGAAGAAACTTATAAAATACACACTTCGACTGACTGCGCCATTGAGAAGCCGGAATCGGTACTTGCGCGGCTCGACATTCAAGTACGGCCATGGTTGCCCATTTCTGACAATGGTTAGTGTTTGAAAACGGGAGAAGTGAAACCAAACCTGCATACACCTGAATTATGTCTCCCCATAAACCAATAGCATTATTGGTTGCATAGTTGAGAGACCCATCGCTATTATATATCTTTGCTGCTAGTGCAAGCGGTATGTCGTATTTACCAGCAGGTAACTCAAATTTTCGCTCTTCTGCGTCGCTGAGAAGATAGAAGCCCTCCTGTCCTTTGTATGCATTGACGCCGGTCTCATACTCCGTGTGATCCTGGACATGTCAGCAATCAAATCATCATGAGTTCAGAGTTCACGTACGTGATACCAAATTGTTCTTGCGTTTTGAGCGTTTGGATAATAATAGTCCTGACAAATTAGCTGAAGAATCAATTTTGGAAATATGCGTTGAGATACTTTGTATTGGCCACCTAATGCATAGTCTGCAGCCCAACCGTCGAATGGGGCGCGATCTAAAGAGATTAATGCGACACTCTTGTTGTTAGTCAAAGTGTAACTCACTATATTGACCATGAACATGCACAGACATTTTCGTTGGTCCATTATTAGAAAACCGAACAACAGCTTCTGACCTTTGATTTAGTTCTCAAGTGATGATAGAGGTTTGATAATAGATACGTACCTCTGCCTCTTTGCATCAGGAATGTGGGACCAGGAGACATTCCATCATAGCCTACCATCTCTGTTGGAGGAAGATTTGGGTATATCTGCTTCGTGAAAGACTTGACTTCTACTTCATAATAGTCGATGGTAGACCCACTGGCGGTGGTGTATGCTCTTTGTTGACATTGTTAATAAGAATTCCTTATGGACAATTATATCCACTCACAATTTAGGGCTTTTAGCAGATGGAATTGGAAGAGGGAATTCGAATATCCATGTGTACTCAGGGCTTATCCATGAACCTGTCGGCTTGGGACGCGATAATCCAACAGATCGAGATGTGGAGGTTGGCTGTGTAAATTGCGTGCTATTCGAGGCCAGTGATCCATCCACGAACAATCCGGCAACACAAAGAAGCTTCCATGCATTCGAACGAGACATTCCGATGTGAGCAAGAGAAAGAACCCGGAATGAGAATGTAAATCTTGAAGAATGACGGAAAAGAATCGAAAACACTACTCACTTGCCTGCATTGATGGATATTAACTGAGAGATATATGTATGCACTGTTTGTAACCCGCATGGACTCGGCATTATTATTGTGACGTTTTCGAAGTCGGCGATGGCAGAAACCGATGTTTCCGATACATAGTACCAAGGCTCGGTGAGACCACAATTTTCTTGGGGATGCACGATGGTAACATCCAAAGATGTAATTGGCGGACTCTCCACGACGTGTGTAGTGGTAGAACCTTCGGAACAGGATGCAAAGTATATATTAGGCTGCATATATGGGTACTTACTTTAATGCACGTACATGTCTTGACTTACTGACAGCTTCCAGGAAGACAGGACAATAAGCTAGATTATCTCCTGGGACAGACGCAGACGGTGACGTCGTGGACTGCTTGGTCAGGAGGTCAATCCCTCTCGGTGAGCATTCCGTGTATGGTAGAACTAGCTACTATAAACATGTTTCTACTTCATGAGGGCAATTATATGAACAATAGCAATTTGGAACACTGGCCATATCCTGGACTGTAGTGGTGCGTGTCGATATGGGATCTTTGACGACAGCAAGGAGATCAGCCGCGCTAGTTTTGGCACTAACCTAATGAGGTTAGACTATAACCACATCAGGTCAAGTCGTCCTTGCACCTCACTACTCAAACCGTTCGTTCCACAACGATAGTCCTCGATTCCCTCCATGGCTACACGACGCCTTAGTGGCTTCAATGAACCCTGATCTTCATCGTACATCGGGTGCCGGCATCCCGGGAGCTATCTGTGCATATCACTCATAAGCATCGGATATACCCGGATCCAATTTGTCCCCTTCAACACAGGTACGTAGCTCAGGGATGAGGATACATGGTTCAAGTATTGTGAAAGACTGACTATCGACTTTGCATTTTGCACAGACAAAGCTGCTCTCTCAATATCTCCGCATTTCCGCTTCATGTATCATAGACGTCCATTTTCCGTGGTCTCATCAAGCCTTTGATTTTTGACCCATGGACAGACCTTCTGGAACGCCACTATTTGCTTTTGTGGCCAGCTATGGCTTCTCGATACTATTAGGCGCTGTGTCGTTTCCACGTTTGTGTACACAAACTTGCTCGCACTGACCTGTTCGATCCACAGAGATTTGGCTGCATCCACTCAGGCAATACTCGGCACAATCCAGTCTATTTCCTAGGACATACGCACACAGTTAGTCTCCGCATAAACCCGCATCAACGGTTTACTAATGTGCAGTCCCTTCTACAGTTTGCAGCGTATCACTCGGCTTTAGCACCCAACACTCTGATTTCAGTGTACAATTGCGCGTAGGACGAAAACGCAATGTTTTTCCTTGGCACCATCCCCAAATCCCGATGACGGATCTTAGGTTTCATTGATACTGTCCACATGTTCGCACGAGCTTCGACATCTGTGACATTTATGACGTCTCATGGATGCCGGAGCTCTGGGGTAAGTGCACAGATCGTTTAGGAGAGGCTGCTTCGTCGTGTGAACCTTGGAAAGATGCGATCTGATTCTACTTGACACGACCGAAGTGGTTATTGCTATGACGGTAATCACAGTTTGCATTCTCGGATCCTGATATATGTATTGTTGACGATCGAGGTGCTCGGACTTTCTCCATTCGTTAGGTGGATGCAAGCTCGGAGGTAAGTAGTATCACTACATGCTAGGGCCAGTCCCGAATCCGATGCGATGACCACGTCATTGGATAAAGCCACACATACAAGGCGCAACAAAAGATATCACGATTGCCTTTTATTTAGTGTTTCGAACCAAGCGTTCATAAAGTCGCTTGATCATGGTCGCTTCTGCATCGTGCGGTGTGTTCTCTATCTCAAAACTGAAGACA